CGCCGTGGCATTCAGGGCTGGAAGCTCGGGCACGCCGTGGTGTTCAGGGCTGGAAGCTCGGGCACGCTGTGGCGTTCAGAGCTGGAAGCTCGGGCACACTGTGGTGTTCACGGCTGGAAGCTCGGGCACGCCGTGGTGTTCAGGGCTGGAAGCTCGGGCACACCGTGGCATTCAGAGCTGGAAGCTCGGGCTCGCCGTGGCGTTCAGGGCTGGAAGCTCGGGCTCGCCGTGGCGTTCAGGGCTGGAAGCTCGGGCTCACCGTGGTGTTCAGGGCTGGAAGCTCGGGCACGCCGTGGTGTTCAGGGCTGGAAGCTCGGGCTCGCCGTGGCGTTCAGGGTCAGGGTCCAGTGCCGAGGCCCAAGATTTTCTCCTCTGCAGTGTGACCGTGGTGCCCCTTAGCGCAGGTGTGAGCTGTGGGGAAGGGGATGTGCAGCCCGGCGGGATGCAGGCGCCAGGAGCCTGCTCAGAGAGGTGATCCCTGGGAAGGGACAAAGGGATGTGCCAGGAGCATACGGACTGATGAGGCAAGGCTGGGCAGACAGGGCTGCAGAAAGACAGACCTTCTCTAAGAGACATGCAGGTCTCCTGTGGGGTGTGTTTAYGTTCAGGTCCTGCTCCAACGCGGTKCTCCTTGCTCTTGAACAAGTGCACGGACAAAGCTGGGGGAAGGGGGTGCTGGCTCACAGTTTTTAGGCAACCCCTCCCCACTTTGCACCGTCCATTTGCTTAGGAGCTTCTCTGGAGAGGGCTGTGGGCTGAGGGCTGAAGAACCAGCAGCYGTGCCCCGCGGTGATGCTGCCAAGTGAGGTGTGTTCTCTGGCTAGCTGGGAGCCCAGGCTCCCTCACTGCTGCAGCAGGGTGACAGTGCCCACAGAGGAGCAGTGGACAGTCATGCTGAGGTGGCTGCCACGTCACCTGCGTTCCCTTGCCCGTTCCCTTGCCCGTTCCCTTGCCCGTTCCATGCCCATCAGCAGCAAGGTCTGGGCCATAGCCCGGCATGGCTAGAGCTGTGTGCTCCCACACACCTAACATCTTCTGCTGTGCCCTTGGTTGGGGCTGGGGAACCTTCACCCCAGCCCCTCCTTTCCTCGTGCTGTGCTCCCGTTTCCTCCTGCAGTGGCCAGCGCTGCAAGGACATGGAGAAGGGCCCTTTCCTCCACCCTCTGCTGCCAAACTGCCCGCTTAAGAATGGTGACTGAGCAGGCAGCCAGCAGCACGTTCAAGGGTGTCAGGTGTTGTGGTTACAGCTCCAGCCATGGGTGACATGGGGTAAGATGTCCTCTGCCAAGGTCATCCCTGATCCTACTGGGACACCTTCCACTCTMGTGGAAACCAGTTTGCTATTGATCTTGAATTGTCCCACCTGGGGTTTGATCACAATAAAAGAGACTTCTTTTCTTTCTTCTCTTCATCTTCCTCCTCCATCTCATCCTTTGCTTTGTGCTTCTTCTCTTTCTTCTCCCATCTTCTCCCCCTTCTTCTCCTGCTGCTCCTCCTTGTTCATTTTCTTCAACAAACAAATGCAATTTGGAGATCTTCATGGGCAGGAAGCTTCCTTTTGCCCTCTCCACAGCTGGCCCTCCCCAGCAGCAGCGCTGTCCAAGACCCTGTGGTGCTCCATCCCTCCTGGAGGGCACCAGTGGAGGGCCCTGCACTTTCTCTGTGCACACCCCGAGTGCCAGCACACACTGGGAAGSGGAAGCTGTGGCAAGAGGCAGAGGTGGCCAGGACCATCTAACTGAGAGGTGTAAGAAGGGATGCAGGTGTCTGTAGCAGCACCAGACTGTGCTGGGAGGCACAGGGAGAAGCTGTCAGCAGGGTGCRGGTCCCTCCATCACACCTGGGGAGAGGAGGACCCCAGATGATGGTCCAGGAGGAGAAGTTCAGGTGCTTWTTTGAGGTCTTCAACCTGCTGCCCATTATCTCTGCCAACCACACCTGCCTCTCTGCTTTGATTCTCTTCATCATAGCTGAGCAACACCCAAGGAAGTTAGTGGTGCAGATGTTGCTGTCACCATACCAGGAATCTGCACCTCYTCCAGTGTGGGGGAAAGAAAAGATGAAGTTAGTGGTGAGCAGCCCCGTTGTGCTCAACACAAACCTCYGCACTGTTGCCTGAGAAACGTCTGCTGTCCTCAGAGAAACTTTAACATTTCAAATTTCATTATTCACTTCAACAAAATTAAAAAACATAATACTGAAAGCTTTTGTGCAACAGGGTATTCCAAACTCTTTTGCTTAAGAATAGTTGAAACATAAAGTTTGTTTTATGGTATGACTGTTTATACCGCATGAGGATGATGGAATATAGCATAATAAAAGTACTTGAAATGGAACACTGCAAAGCCACCTGAAACCCTTTCCCTTTTGTTGACAATTTGATGGAGAGCAGTGAATTCTCTTAAAATATTTCAAGCATAATAAAGGTATTTTTCTGCCTTAATACTACTGCATTCTCAATATTTCACCATTATTACTTAATGTCTTTTAACATAGGTCTTTTCCTGCAACCTACTCATTCACCAGAAGGTGGGGCTTATGCCCCATAACCAAACTAAAATAGGCAGATAGTTTTTACCTAGTTGTTTGGATTCAAGGGTTTGCAGTCTCTCATCTCTCCTCCCTGTTTTGCAGAGGACACCCTTTTGGATGTGCACGACACCTCTCCAGGCCTAAACCTCAGACATGGGAGTCTTAAATGGTCCCAGCACAATCTAATTAAGCCTAAAATCTAAAGTATCATCACCTAAGACATGTCAAAGTCCAGAATCTTCGCACTAGGAGATGCTACTGGCTTCCTTCCAGATGACTTGGAGCACTACTGAGTGTGACAGGAGGAGGCTTTGCCTCATGTTTCTGCCTCAGTTCCTGTCCTGCTCGAMTGTGGGTCGGAAGCAGCTTGGTTTGGCTCCTGCGTGGTGGCTAGTGGTGCCAGGTGGGCGGTGGTGATGGTTGCTGTGCCTGTGGGCGCTGCCAGGTCCCGCACGCGCTCCTGAGCAGGCTCGGCCTGCGCCACCACCGTGGCCATGAGGCGCTAAACGTCACAAACACTGAACTTCAGCAACACCGTTAGGCCACCACAGA